ATTCCCTTGTCCCCTTTTGCTATTTCCCGCCGTCGGCCGACTCGCTCGCTGCTTGTTGCAAGTGCAATGTACGTATGTATGTATGTACCTGGCGTATGTATGTATGTAGGTCGTGTCGAGCTGCGTCGTCGCTTCTCACGTCGTGCCCGTTAGTTCCACTGATAGGTCGCCAGTTGGGTCACTTGGTCCCGTAGGTGGGTCGAGGCGCGCCGCGCTTCCCACCGCGAAAGAGTCCCAGAAGTCATGTGATACTACTACTCTCTGTAACGCAATAGCCTATCTTCTGCCACCCTTTATCTATGTACCTAGGTATGTATCTACGTACCCGATAGGTAGTATCTACGTACCGGTAGTTAGACTAGTAGTCTAGCCCTTTAAAATCAAACTATGCAACTTGCATAGTTTAGCTTCGGTTTTTTAATCTTGTCTATCCGGTAACACTATTTGATAACAACGTCGTGGTCAAAAACGTCACCTTTGGTATCAATAACTACCAGAGCATGCTATCTAACCAATTTACCTTATGCAGCTTCCTAGGTACTTTTTAGTTCTGGGCGGTATTGTCTTATTATACTCATAAGGTACCGTACGCACCTACCATGGCCGCCTACCTATGCGGCCGAGGCACCAGGTGCAGGTGGGGCCGCCGATACGGTAAGCCGGTCGTACCTACGCGGTAGGTAAGTACTTAAGCAAGACAGGGACTCGTCTTCTTCAACCGAGGTGTCTGGAGATAAACCCGAGACATCTTGCTTTAGTCTCTTAGAACATTGATCACTGCAGCATTTGGCCATGATATAGATTCAATCTAGAAGATATTTCTCGACACTTATAAGCACGCAGTTCTGCAGCATTCTCAGCGGGCAATTCGAGCCTTCACCGAAACACCCGATCCTCAAGATGGAGTGGTTCGGGCGGGCCAAGATCGAGTTCACGACGGCGCCGAAGTCATTGGCGTTGAGAGACAACGAAGGCAATGCGACGAGTCTGCTGCAAGTGTGCCGGGACACGGTGCCGCCATGCAATCTGAACCCGCTGCTCTTCAATGGGCACCTGCAGACGGTATGGACCGCCGCCACCGCACATGGCCCGCCTGTGCACTACAAGCGGCGCATCTTTGAGTCCAACCATCCCCAATTCAAGGGCAGCTTTGCCGTGGACTTCGTGGTAAAGCCCTCCACCGACTCTGATGAGTCCCTGCCGCCGCGGACCACCTACTTCGGCAAAGAGGAACTTGCCAATATGGGGTCCGACGACTCTCGCCCCATGCTTGTTGTCCTCCATGGCCTTACCGGGGGATCACATGAGATTTATTTGAGACATGCTATCAAGTCCCTGGTTGACGAAGGGAAATGGGAGATCTGCGTCGTTAACTCGCGGGGCTGTGCCAAGAGCAAGATTACCACGGGCATATTTTACAACGCCCGCGCCACGTGGGATACGAGGCAGGTCTGTTACAAACGATTTCATTCACTCTAGTACCCTCTACCTCTTTTCATTCCAATATTGAAGGCTCATGTCCCGGAATAGGTGGTTAAATGGCTGCGAAAGACGTATCCTAATCGTCCCCTCTTCGGTCTCGGCTTCTCACTAGGGGCTAACATTCTGACAAACGTGGGTGATCCTCCTCCTCCTTCTCCTTGTGTGAGAATGATTGTCTAAATCTCATCTAGTACATCGGTGAAGAAGGCGCAGATTGCCAGTTCAAAGCAGCCGTCGTCATTTCCAACCCCTGGAACCTAGAGATAGGCAACAAAACCCTGAAACACACATGGATTGGGCACGAGATATACCTAAAGAGCCTCGGAAGTGAGTAGCTACATAAAAAAGGCATAATCGCGTGTCAAACACCCCGTCAATATCAGGCTGTCCTCATCCATATCTTTTTTTTTCTCGGCTTCCGTACTTTGCAGCTCTTCGCCACCTACTATTATGCTAACACCGTGTTCAGCCTCTCTCAGAACACTAGTAGAAAATAACAAAGCGGAGATCGAAAAGTACTCCGAAGTAAATATCTTAGAGCTCTCCAAGGTCAAATATCTCTATGAATTCGACAGAGCCTACCAGTGTCCGACATGGTACGTATTAAAGTTTTCCGTAATAGCTAACCATCAGTCTCCTTGTCTCGCATGATCTGGCGGGTTCTATGATGTCAAGCTTGGGGATCTTGACTCACATGTTTCTGTGCACGTAGGGGATATCCGACGGAAGACGCTTATTACCGCGACGCATCGAGCGTTGACTCGATCCTGGGAGTACGAATTCCTCTACTAGCAATCAATGCCATCGACGATCCTATAGCCGTCGGTCTTGGGCTCCCATATAACGAGGCCACGAAGAACCCGTATACGGTCCTCTGCACTACATCACTAGGAGGACACATCGGCTGGTTTGAACCTCTCGGTGGACGATGGCACGGTAAACCCGTAGGTGTAATTTAATATTCCTTGCCTTCGTTAGAGTTACTAATAATTCGATTCTGGAAATAGGTATATAATTTTCTTAATCATATGGCCTTCGAAATTGATCATAATAGCATAGACAGTAAAGTGGGCAAGGTTATGTACAGCACTGCAGCGAGCACGAGCGAATTTAACCCCATACGACGGAAGTTAAACGTTAATCTACAAGCATGATCGTTAGAGCCACAGGCTCTCATAAATAAGAAGAGATGGAGCAAGACAGGCTAACGAGGATACATCTAAAGTGTCACATTTGCGTGTTTAGCGTCAAATAAAGAGGGTCTATACTACAGCGAGCTTGTTCTTGGTGAACTAAAGAGAATAGTTGACTATGTAGCATCAGTGCTGCTTAGACTGAGTTTTATCCGCCAATTGATGAACTGCTCTGTGAGAATACTACCATGCCCAACTTCTTCCACCTTGAAGACCTCGATAGTCGATGAGCCGGCTCGTCTTCTTATTTTCCAAACCCCTTCGTCATTAATCGTATTCCTCAGCCCTATATTTTAAGTCAAATCAGCCATGCGACGTCTGTAGATCCGAATCCGACGAATCCAAAAGAGGACACGTACAGTCTAGGAATGCACTCGCAAAATTGATGCACATGTTAGCATCCCAGCTCCGTACACCGCGCTTTGCGGCCGTTCCTGGGATCGAGGCTGTCTGGATCTCCTCGAGCTTGGTAAGAATGCCGCCCTGTGAGCGAAAGCCGACAATGATCTTGGGCACACCGAGGAGGAAGGACTGAATCCAGAATTTCATGAGTTTGCGCTCGAAATTGCTCATGCCTCTATCGTCGTGGATCTCAGCACTCGTCTTGAGCTCTACCCAGTTGATTGGTGCTCCTTTCTGAGTGGGCTTGGAGTCCCAGACTTGATACAACGCCACTAAGTGAGTGTTTCTATGCGAGATACCACTAGGGGGAGTAGCGCTACGGCTTAGTAAGACTTACTGGCGTCGACTTCTCCACCTAGGCACATTACGGTCTTGCCTATGCCTGTCCTAACTACAGAGCAATATTGCGCTTTATTGTTGACAATATGCTCATCGCGGTTTTCGATAAACTCACGGCTCACTTCACCCCAGGGTCGTGGTAGGCAAGATAGCGTCTCGAATTTGTAGCCTGTACTTGAGCGGTGAGCGTTGCGGTTGAAGGTATGTGTATATAATAGAGAGATCTATGAATAACTTTACCCCAATAAGTCATGACCTCAGGTGAAAATTGACCCCGTCGACCTCGTTGCTGTTTGTTTTGCTGTTCCTTAGAGAATTGCTTGGACTTATAATCGTCCTCGATGAAGCTACTCCGCTGTTATATTAGCTCGATATTAACCCGCGCGGTTCCATGCATGGTCATACATGCAATCCTTTCGCAAAATTAGTAGTGAAATCCGGAAGAGTCGTCGCCGGTAGATATGCACGCACTTGATAGAGAGTTGCGTTCATTTCGAAACTGATGGGTAAACGATGGTTAGCGTTTCGCGCCATCATCATCATCATCATCATCGTCATCGTCGTCGTCGTCGTCGTCGACATTAGTCTCGACATACCCATCTCTGTCCTCGAACGGCACCGACATGATCTATATAGGGTGTGGTTAGACTAGTATCATTCTTTCGTGTCGATAAGGTCCGAGGAAAAGGTTGTTCACCTTGGTCATCATACCACGCCACGTGATAACGTTGGCGTCAATCTTCTTCCCTTCTTCCTTCTCGTGTGCTGCGATGGTCTCTAACAAGCTGTCGAGGTGTTCATCTATCGACTCATCGTGTTTATCGAACTTGTCAAACCCTTTGGACAAGTCCGCCCCCAGTCTAGGGGGGTAGTACCATTGCAACGATGAGTCGTCGAGACAGAACTTGTGTTTCTCATCGTAGGAAAAGCATGCAATTTCCTTAGAATTAGTTAACTATCAGTTGGATTGCAATAAGGCGGGTGGTTTGCCGAGAGAAGAAGGTAGTGTACCTTGGGTCGCTTCATTGGCTCGCTCTCGCCACGAAAACGGCCAATCGGCTGGATGTCGAATACCGGCGTGGACATGTTTAGATAACCTGTTCTGCAGATGTTCTTAGATAGGATGAAGGCAAAGGATGAAGGAGGAGGAGGAGGTTGTCTCATAAATCAGTCAAGTACACCAGCTACGGTTACCTACCTACCTTGTACCCAACATACCGAACCCATGGCCTGGTACCTTAGGCCAGTACAAGGTAAAAAGTAAAGCCAGCCCCACTAGCGTGCTAAGTATCAGCTGTCTACTTAGGTACGTAGGGTAGGCTGAAAACGCAATACTTGTCTCTATGTATATACCTTTACAAAAATATACAGGTGAATAAGTTTCCTTTGCTACGTCATATTTTAAGGAACCTCCGCTTACTAATGTACAATTAAAACAACAAAGAAAATAAAATACTAAATAGATCTAAAGATTTCTCTGAAGGAGCTGTATGCAGTGCTGTTGTATAATTGATCTATCTATAATCTGCCATTTCAGCGCACTATATGAAGTGAGTTACATGGAAGATTGAGTTACATTGTAATGCTCGTTTAGCGTAGTGGTTAACGCGCCGTTCTTATACTCTCTTTCTTTTGAAAGAATGTATGCTAGATATGCGGAGATCGTGAGTTCGACCCTCACAATGAGCATTATCTTTTGCTCTTCTTGCACAAGGAATGTAACTGCCCTATAGTGATGATAATGTATATAGAAATACAAATACAATTGATTAATTTATTGGAGATATTAGCCAACATTTTACATTTTGAACCAGTAATTTATTTTAGATGCAATAACCCCCCGTCTTATATCTAGTATGAATACTCATCGAGACTGCATCTACTATGCGTGAAAGGACTGCGCACAGTGAGTTGGGATGATATATGTTATGCAAAGTCTGCGATGATATAGATTTCCATGTCTAAGGCACGAGATAAATGAAACTGGCTTGAAAATTAACTTCACTGTTGAATAATTAGAACCGTCTACCTTAATCAACCATCGGGTATGACAACAATATGTACAAGCATTCATCCGGCTCTTCCACACCTCGAGTACTGTCCGAGCAATCTCATTCGTTACCCACTTAGCCTTGCCAGAGTTAACGATTCCACATAGCCCACGCATAGAATAAGAAAGAAGCATTTGCCGTTCTCCCGCCAGAAGGCCACGGGGGCCCGCTCAACCACAGGCACATAAAATTGACTAGACCTTCTTTTCCTCACCTCACAAAGCCAAGTTGTAACTATATTCATCTTCCATGTTCTGGCTAACCCATAGGACCACGGAGGAGAGGCCGACGAGGCCGTTGGCGACGATGTTCTCGACGCCCATACCCATCATGGGCCAGGCGACTTGCTGTACGGCGAACTTGAGGACGAAGACGACGACGCCACCGGCCATGCCGCCGGCGAGAGCGGCGAAGCCGAGGAACAACACGACGCGGGCCTTCCAGGCGACGCCCGAGCCCGAGTAGCTGAACGAGTCGGCCGACAACCGCGCCTTCTCAACCGAGTTGATGATGAGCATGCCCAGCGAGCTGAAGATGAAGGGCAGCCAGTCGATGAACGTCACGTGTACGTCCGACATATTGAGCGGCGATTTCGACCACACCGCCGCGTCGATGAGCACGTAGAACGCGAGGGAGAACTAGATAGCGCTACGGGTTAGCTATTACTCTCCAACATCCAGATTGATCGCGACGAGGTAAGATGGAACGTAGGGGTCGAATCGGGATCGGTTTGGTCAAGGGGGGGGGGGGGGGGGGGGGGGACCAACCAGACCCCCGGCAACGTAAACCCCAGGGTGGGCCCCCCAAACCGTTTTTAGCCAGGCCGGGATACCAAAAAAACAAAGGCGGAA